ATCAAGTTTCAGCTACTAATTAATTTCACAATGTAGTTGATCATTACCCATGCAGAAATAGTACATTAGTGCCTTGTGAAATTTACGCAGTTCGACTCAAACTATACCTAGAGGGGGGGTGAATAGGTGTAAATGCGGAATTAAAAATTGTAATTAACCAGCAATAAGTCACTAATTAATTATCTCTAGATGGTTAAGCATATAGTCCAATTACCCTATCTTTGAATACCGTAGAATATGAAAACAGAAAATAAAGCAGTAAAAAACACACGAAATGAGAAACCCTAGCTGGGTAAAAACTTCGAGCGCTTTGTCAGTCAAAATCCACTATAAACGATCAAACTTACTGTCCGTCAGACAAGACGACGACACGAGCTTTCTGACCTCCTGACTGAAGTTAATATAGTCATTCTGGATTGTGTGCCTCGCAACAACTCCTGACTGAGATTCTAACAGCCCTCCTGGATTGCGCGCTCCTGCACCAATTCCTTGACTGTATTATCAAAGCCCTTATGTATTCTTTAACCCCTGACTTTGTGGATTCGTCTATCTCATGTGGATTCTTGAAGAACTCCGTGTTCCTCAGTGAGCTTGGTATTTAGATTAACTGAAACTGGTGTTTTCTCTACGAAGTATAATCAAATCAATGAAGTTTAAAGTCTCTCGATGAATTGGAAGATGAAAAGACGAAGCTCGTACGTTCTCTCTATGTTTCAACCTTCGAATTTACGTTCTGTGGTGTTCTGGTATTTATATGATAGGGTGGTTGAATGAGCCGAATAAAAAACCTTGAAATCGCGATTAAAAAATTCTCGACTAACCCTATCGCTCGAGCGAGAACCCGACGACATTCTAGCGAAAATATTTCTGTTTCTGTCGCTCGAGCGAAGTCATGGCAACAGTTTAACGAAATTGCGACGTCGTTTTTTTGTCCTCTTTTGAAGCTCGAACCATAGAACCTATACAACTCAAATACAAAAATTACAACCTACTCCTTGACTTTTATAACCTATCCAATTTAGTCCTTTTTCACAAACTTGCCAATTACATCATAAACTATCAAAACCTAACACCTTGCATGGACGGATTTAGGGATAGTGTATTAAAAAATAAAAATTATTGTAATTTTTTTTTTTAATGTGCAAAATTTATTTGTTTCTACATATTAGTTCGGTCATAAATCTGTCTCATGTGCCTTGTTTGTCATTGTAACTTCCATGAGTAATAATATTATGAGTTGAGCTAAAAGTACATGACAATTTACATAATAATTTACCAACAAATGATGTGACAATTTAGAGAATATGACAAGTAAAAGAAGGAAACCGACAAAACAAATAATGCAAAAAAGGGAAATAAGGTTCAACCAAGATTCATTGACATAATTTTACTTAAAATGTTAAATATTCAATTTTCAAGCAAACCATTTGTTATGAAGAACATTGTCAATCGAGATTTATGAACAAAACAAAATTAAACCCTTACATCTCAATCTTAGAACAGTACATTAAGTCACTCGACCATTTCAATCCATCGAATTCATTTAAGTCGAGCAATTACACACAATGGGCATTAACAAAAGCCCCTTGTAAATGAATAACATGAACCATAATCTATTTCCCTTCATCGAAAACCGAATCATGATTTTTCTTTTTTTTTTACAACCTCTGCCTTGATTGCTCTTGACGTACTTGTAAAGTTGTAAGACCAAGCTTAGACGAACCTCTTCGGTGTCTAACGGTTCTGTTCTCATATGTTTCTCAAGTATCTTGTGATGAATTATCTACTTGGCTTACTTTATTACAAATAAGCTTGTCATCGCCCTCAGGGCACATCTCTAAGTGGTAAAAGGGGAAGGTGTAAAAACTTCACATTTGCTTAAGGCTGCCGCGTTAAGGGTTCAAATCCTGAAATATGGATTTGACCCGTGGATAAGTGTAAGTGTACAATCAGTCTTCCACCCTATACCCTTGGAGGCATAACCTGCGATTTACCTCCTTCACCAAGGTCCAGGGTAGGGCAGGTGGGGGACGCTAAGGATGTGGTTCATCCTTTTTTTAATAAGCTTGTCATCGGTGCATGAAAGGAGAAACAAATAAGATCAACATAATGAATCAAATATCATAAATTCTTGATACTTTTCACCATACAATACATATTCCATTACAATTTGAAACAAGTTAAAATTCTTTTTGTTTATCAACAAAAAAAGTCTTATAACATAGGGAAAACGTAACATTCTTGTTACCTTCCAATCACTTTTTCAAAAGTTACATACTTCTCTACTTTTTAATTATCAAGTATGATCATTACATTATAAAGAAGAAAGTGAATTTGACTGATCACTTATTTATGCAGATTCGATTAAACTCCTATTTGGTGCGGACCAAAACTAGAATTTTAGCAAATTTTGATAAAAGTTGATAAAATGTGCGGTTGAAAAGTTGTAGGTACCATAAAATGTTTAGTTAAAATTAATTGTTTTGAATCTACACAACACACAGGTGCTAAATATGAGATTTAAAAAACTAACTGAATCATATCACATATGAGAAAGATTAATAAAAAAAATTATTAACTAAAAGATTCGTATTTCTAATAAGAAAAAGAAAGGCTCAGAAAAAATTCAATACAAATTAAATGTCTAAAAGATTTTTATTTGCAATAAGAAAAGAAAGGCCTAGAAAAAAATTTCAATACAAATTAAATTTCAAATTTCAAAATCACGATGAAATTACGAAAAAGTCATTATTAAATAACAGGTGTTTGGATATAAATCAAATAATCATCATTTCACAAAAAAAAAAAAAAAAAACATAAGTTCAAGTTTCACTGTAAATAACATTCTTGCCAAAATAGAAGCTAAAATAAGTGGGTAACATTATATGATACTTGTATTAAAAGGTAACCTGACATGATAGTTCCTAAAATAATATGATATTTTTTATTCAAATTAATAAATCTTAGAGGAAAATAAAAATAGTATAAATAATTAGCAAAAAAAATACGACAATGTAGGCACGTAAAGGCAATCGAAGTCATCAACAGAAAACGTACGAGGCAGATTAAACTTAGCACTAGAATAACAATGTAGGCACATCAAAGGCACACGAAAGCACCATCTCGAGTACATGAAATCATCTACACAGAAACACAACTTCACAACCACACGAAGATCTTCGAAAGTAACATTGTACGCACACTAACAGATACCAACATAGGCTCAAATACACGAACATAAAACAGATCATAGGCAAAACAAAACAACAAAAATGTATAATATGATACTTATATATGTAATATGTTAACTGATCTAATATAAAAGAGAGAATAAATTCTTGGAGAAAAGATTGCTCAGATTGGGATAGCATTTGAGATGCTGCAATAATTTCCTAAACCAATAACAATTAAGCTATTTGTATAGAAATTATTTAAAACCTTGTTGACAAATGATGAGATAGCGTGCATTCTGACCCTTGTTTTGAATAAATGAAATACAAATCAAGGGCCAAAATGCACGACACCTCAGAATCTGTCAAACTTTGTGTCAAAATAATTATACATGCATCATAACTAAACCAATAAATAATTGCTGAACATGGAACCTTGATACTGTTCCAATGCTGAAATAGGAGTAAAGGGGATGCTTGGCAGAGAGATCCAAGCTTTTGCTAGAGAAAATATGGGAAGATCGTGTTCCATGGCATGCCTAAGCTGAAAATTTTCTCTTTCGGCATTCCTGTTCAAGCGTGCTATATGTACATTAACTTTTACATTATGTTTGACATTCTTTGACGTTTAATCCATTTTTGCTATTGATTTTTACAATACTCTTTCACACCACTGACTAGATTTTTGACTCACAAGGGGGTGTGAACAAGAATGTTAACAAGTAGCTTAATTTTTTCATGTTTCTCTTGGAAACCCATTGAAGTAACTGCCTTCCGTTGGTTTTGTAGGCTTCCTGCTTTGCCAAGTTTTCGGAAATGCAAATCTCACTACTTGGCTGCCTTTATTCTTGCAGTCATCTAATGCTGTAGTTGTAAAGGAGGCTGCTGTATATCTTATTTAACACTCAAAGATTGAGTATTGTTTGCCGTCTTCAGATCAAAACCAGGCTGCCAGCTGCTGTAACAACAAAAAATAAAATAAAAAATAAAAAAGGTTTTCGCCCTTTGGCTGCAGATTTCTTTATTTTGTGGACTCTCTGTGGTGAATATTTGAATTATTCAAACAAATTAGGAACATCATCTGTCGTCAATATCTGTTCCGAAAATTTCAAGACAGCAAATTGTTTGTATAAGTGACTCTAGACAATGGCATTGTTCAGTTTAAATGTTCGTATAACTGACTCTCGACAATGGCATTGTTCAATATGCATTTATCCCACCACAGAGCATTTTACTAGATAGTTTCAAGATTTTCACATATTTCAGGTATATATATGACTTTTAACAGTCCGGCATACGGTTTCCATGTATTATAAACTCAAAAAAAATAAAGTGATGGAGATTTGCTCTATTTCGAATGGATTAGGGCAGCAAAATGATTTTTCCTGTTTGAAATTATACACAAAAGGTCTTATACCTTGATTGTGGGAGTATAATTATAATTTGAAGGGGGTAAACTGTAATTCAACAACAAAAAAAATGATTCAGCGCGATCTAATTGTTGAGTAGGAATACAGAACTCTAAAATAGAGAAAACAAAAGAAAAAAAAATGTAAAAAGTGAAGATCAAATATAAAGGAATGGTGAAGCAGTGCAATTTCTCCCCAGATTTGAACTTTTGAAGCCTTCTACTTTTGTGTATATATACAAATGAAAAGTCACTGGTACATATTGAACTTAGAGCACATGCGACTATTTGATTTTAATGTCATCCCACTGCTACTTGATGAAACATTACCTACTTGTTTGGTATGGATTACTAACCGGCACTACAACACTACTTAGCTCCAAACCAAGTTACCTTAAAAGGAAGTTAGTTGATTTCAATGTTTAGTTGATTTCAATGTTGTTGGGCGTTCTTTGAAGACTAACTAATGAATAGTATGCCCCGGTTGGTCCTTTAGCCAACAATGAAGAGTGAGAACCCTTTTCGACTACCTTTCCTTTGCCCAAAACAGCAATCATGTCACAGTTCTGTATAGTACTTAGCCGATGTGCCACAACTACACTTGTCCTTCCAACCATCACACGCTCGAGGGCATCTTGCACAACTTTCTCCGACTGACTGTCGAGGGCACTGGTTGCCTCATCTAATAACAAAATGGCTGGACTTTTTAGGATGGCACGAGCTATCGCGATTCTTTGCTTCTGGCCGCCAGATAGCTGCAGCCCTTTGTCACCACACCACGTGTCATATCCATCCTTCAGACCAGTAATGAAGTCATGAGCATTTGCTGTCTTTGCTGCCTCAACAACTTCTGATTCATCAATGTCTTCTGACGCGCCGTACATAATGTTTTGACGTATAGTACCAGCAAATAAAGTTGGCTCCTGGCTAACGAGTGCAATGTGCTTCCTGAGCGATCTTAAGTGATATGACCTGATATCTCGCCCATCGATCTTCACTACACCTTTAAGTGGATCATAAAATCTTTCAATCAAGCCTATAATAGTTGATTTCCCAGAGCCACTTTGTCCTACCAGTGCAGTTGAATTTCCTGCCTCGATGTTAATCGAAAAGCCTAAAAAGAGCATCACATCAGGCCTGGCAGGGTAGGCAAAATCAACGCCACGCAGTTCAACATGACCAGTTAACTTATCTGGCTTGTACCCCTCTGGATCTTCAGGTTCAATTAATGAATATCTATCCAATACTGTAAATACTGATCCAACTGCAACAGAACCTTTGGCTAGATCATTTGTCATACTCCCAGCATCAGCAATGACACGGCCTGTGCTCACCAAAATCATATAAGTCTGGAATAGTTCTTTGGCTCCTATGAAGCCTTCTGCAATGAGTTTGCCACCATACCAAAAATCTAAAGCCCAAGTGCAAGTCATTAGGCTCTGAGAGGTACCAAGTCCAATTCCAGCAAACCACGACTGTCGAATGCTTTCCTTTTGTGGGCCTTCTTGGGCTTTCTCGAGCATTTGGAGAATTCGGGCTTGGGACGAAAAGGCTGTAACTGTTCTGAGATTAGATACAGCTTCAGCTGCAAGCTTGCTACTTTCATCTTGAGCTTTAATGGCCTTTTGGGACATGTTTTTCAGAAGGACACGCTTGCAATAGTAACAGATTACAATAAGTGGTTGCACGGCAATCATTACCAGTGCGAGCTTCCATGCAATAACCAGGCCCATTGTGCAAGCAACGGTCACTGCAGAGAAAGTTTGAATGAGCAATGCCATCCGATCACCTACCAAAGACCTTACCTGTAAAATTTCGAGCCAACATTTAGTAACAATCATTAATGCAACGTACTTTTACTTTTCAAATGTACACCTAAGATATATATCACTGATTGAGGGAAGGTTTAAAATTTCTTCATAAAAGAATAAAATCTTGAAAAAAAATGGAGTTCTACTGGTGGTTTCAAAAAGAAAGTAAAATTGTTGTATTAAAAATATGCTTATCTTAGCATGTTGTTCTCATCGATGCTTGACCTTGAGATGTGGATCATCAGAGGCACATCAGCATGATGTACTCCTACTATTCGAATCAGGGGTTGAAAACCTCTCATCGCTCATTATAACTAAGACGATAAATAGAAATATTTTCATGATAAAATGTATAGTTGATGAACATACCACATTGGCATCTTTGGCTAGTCTTGAGCAAACAGCACCAGTGGCATTCTCATCCTGATCAAACCACCCGATTTCAAAAGTGAGCATTTTTGAAAGCATTCTCTCTCTGATTCTTTTTGTCAAGTACTCCCCCATGGCTGCAAAATTATAATGCTGGCATATATTGATCAAGAGTGAGAAAATAGCTAGTCCAAGAAAAAAGAAGGCATATGTTGTTGTTCTCTCCTGAATCGCACTATGATTCGGTAGAAAATACACTGAGATCATTGACCCCAATGCAAATGCATACACTGGCTGAACTGCACCAAATAATACTGCACTTGTACACCCTAATATAGCTTGCCTCCATTCTGGCAGATTCATAGCTAGTAGTCTTCTAAATGAAGGTACTGCAACAACTTGATCACTAGAAACTGGTGCAGTTTCTAATCCTCGACTCGGTGCAACTGAATTAGCTGAACTGGACCGACTCACAATTGATAGTCTTCGACTACTAGTGTTGTGAATATCAGCATTTGGAATGGATGTCGAAGCAATAATATAATTAGCACTTGTACATTCTGCACTTTTCTCAGTCTGTTGAAGCCGGACAAGAGACGTGTATAAGCCATGTTCATCTTCAATAAGCTCATCATGTGAGCCCATTTCCATGACCTGACCGTTATGCACTACTGCAATGAGGTCAGCATTTCTGATAGTTGAGAGGCGGTGGGCTATGATGATGGTTGTCCGACCCATGGCTGCCATATCCAATGCTTCCTGGACCACTCGCTCTGATTCCGAGTCCAATGCGCTGGTGGCCTCATCTAGCAATAGAATTTTTGGTGCCTTAATCACAGCTCTGGCTATTGCTATTCTCTGCTTTTGCCCCCCAGACATCTGTATTCCTCTCTCACCCACCTGCAGTAGCAAACATGTTTTTGTTACCCATTGTTGTGATAAATATTTAGTGCAAGTGTGGTACGCAATACTGGAGATAACTCGACAACACAATATATAAGATTTTAATTTATTATTTCTTCTTTATTATTGTCTAGTGTTGTGAAGTACAACTCGCCTAAAATATAGCATGTTTGATTCACAGGAATAGACATGTTATGAATTGTGGTTAAAGAATAAACACACGTGAAATGTTTATCTATTGCCATACTCACATCTAATTGTATCCAATGAGCATATTAAACAAGCCCTTAACGAAAAAGAGAAATACTGCATGCTAGATCTTCTGACAAATTTTACACCATGTTTTATGGACTCTCAAAATAAGCCAAACAAAAACTCATTTTTTCCAAAATTCATTTTCAACTACACATTCTCCCATAAAATAATTTTACAAGTAAATCAAAATCTTTTTCTTATTTTTTTAACTACACATTCTATAAAAAATCACTATTCCAAAATATATTATCTCCCAAAATGGGGCTCAAGCAGAGTATAAATTTGATTCATCTTCTGAGTTTTTAAGATTTGCATGCCTAGCATGAGCAAACTTGATTCTTTAACTGGTACGAGCAATTATGTTAAGCCAAAATCAAAATTATTCAGCTAGACATAATAAATTATTAATGCAGAGAATAAACAAGTGTGGTATAGACTTTAATGAGCTTCTAGTATATGTTTTCTCAATTAATTAAATGAACAAAGACTACACGTGTGGTGGAGCCGTGGAGGTAATATAGGATGTTGTTTGAAATGTTTTAGATTCTTCTACAAACAAAAAGAATCAAATAGCTAACCCTACTGTCAATAACGAAAAAAAAAAAGCTAGCATTAGCGTGCTCTATGCTTCATATTAGGAGGCTCCAATCACGGGTCATGTAGCAAGCCAGCTCACAAGCTACCCCAGGCCCGCACTCCACATCACTCGCTTACCTGGTCCAATCGAGACCATCAAAAAGAGGAAGCTGAAGTGATGCATCACCCACACCAAGGTACTATGAAGAAGTCAAACTTCCGTGACCAAGGTGTGGTGCCACAATATGCTACAGCTTATTATCGAAGCGATGGGCTTTTGAATCCACAAAGGCATCTTTTGCTTTCGCCTCTTCCAAAAGATCTTTTGTACAAGATTTTCTTCTAGGGGATATTTTGCTCAATTGATGTGACCCCTCTGCAACGGACGTTGCTTAGTCAACTTGTTAGTCTACTTTTCAAATGTCAGACCGAAGCTATAAAGTTACTGCTTTTCAAAATCATTAAATGCCCTCTGGACCTAGGATTGCAGAAGAGACCTCTAGGGGATGACGCTTCAACTGTTAAGATGAGATAACGTATTTTTCATTCAACGTCAACCACTTCACCTCTTTTTTATAAAATATCACACTTAGTGTCATTCATAGGTAATGCTACTTTACATTCTCAACTTGTAACTTAACTCTCATATTGTTTCCTCTATACAACTTGGTGCCCATACACATACATGTGGCTTAAGTCTTCCGTTCATCCCACACTCAAATATATAAATTGATTGATTTGACCATAAGAGTGCTTATGACCGCCTCTCTCACCATACAAGAATACCAAGTGCTTCTAACGGTCTATCCAAGTTTGCATGAGTCTTACACGTGAACGTGAATGGAGCCGAAATCCGTTGATGACGTCATCAGCCAGAGACAGAGGTTAACGGTTGACTTGATGGTGTGAACTCCACTCGTGGAAGGCTATGCTAGGATAAATTAATCTAAACTTGTGTGAACATGATTCTTGAAGAGATTTTAGAAGTTGGTACTCCACGATAATTGCCTATGTTGAATCTTGAAGAACAAACACTAGTTGTTCATACTGGTAAAGTCCACAATTACATATTAAACGCAATAGATTTAGTATATATGCATGCATATTAAAGCGAATGCTCAGTACTATCATAAATATGAGTCCTAAATTTGTAACCCAAGCAACTCAATAAGCGATAAAGAGAGAAGACTTTGTTCAACAAAATATAAATGTCTAAAATTAATGTGTGTCCAAAGGTAACAGGAGTATAGGAGCCCTAAGTTCATAACACAATCCATTCAACAAGCTATTGAAAGAGTAAAACTACTTCCCTGAATAAACTTTCTCTTTAAGCATTCTTAAGAACATAACATATTTTCAGTAAAAATGTAACTTTTAAGTAAAATCAACCTGATCTTATAAGTAAAAGTGCAAACCACACTAACCTGGGTATCATAACCTTGAGGCAACTGGGAAATAAAATTATGAGCATTTGAAGCTTTGGCAGATTCAATAACCTCTTCCATGGGTGCATCTTCTTTCCCAAAAAGTATATTCTCTTTTATAGAAGTAGCAAACAGTGCCGGCTCCTGACTCACCAAACCCATTTGTGATCTCAGCCACTTCAATTGCAATTTATCAATTTTGACACCATCAAGCAAAATTTCACCTCCTAAAGGATCATAAAATCTCTGCAGAAGGGCAATTACCGTTGATTTTCCAGACCCACTTCCTCCAACCAATGCTACTGTTTTTCCTGCTGGGATTTTCAGACTGAAATCTTGCAAAATTGTGCTTTCAGGCCTTGAGGGGTATGCGAATTCTACGTGTTTGAATTCGACTTCCCCGGAAACCTTGTGGAGGATTTGGCCTTCTAAATTCTCTGAATCGATTTTGGGTACTCTTTTTATGACTTCCATTATGCGTTCGCCTGCTGCACTTGCTTCCGAGAAGTGCTTTAGGTTTGATAAACTAGAACCCAATGCTCTGTTCAAACAGATCAAGAAAACTATTACCAGTAAATTCATCAACTAAATGTGCAAAAATATTGAGTTTCAAGAAAATGGATCTGCAAATTTGTAATGTCTCTGCTAGTCCCACTTTCACTTGTCGATTTCAAAAGTGAGCTCTATCCAGAATATTGGTAACTTGGTTAAGCTTGTAAGCCAGTAGATTTTTTTAGTTAAGTTTAAACTTATTTTGAATTGAGCTATTTGAAAAGTAGTTACTTGTTATACTCTGTCGAGGGTAGTTTATTTTAAGATTTTGTAAATGGAGTAAGGTTGGAGATGCTTACAATCCGCCGACGATGATGGCCGCACAGACTATAAAAACTGTTCCACCCTGAGCCCCATGATACATAACCATTCTGCTACCATAATAACACATGAATGACCAAATTGCAAACACCACACCATTACTTCCAATAGCCAATCCTTTAGCTAAACCTTGTTTTAATCCCAAATTCACAGTCTCTTGAAGAGCAGCAGAGTATTCAGCAATTGTCTTGCTTTCTCCAACAAAAGAATAAACTGTCCGAACTGAAGAAATTGCTTGTTCAACTACTGTACTAGCTTTATTGTACTCGTCCCTGATCCTTCCTGCAATGCTCATGAGAGCCCTTCCGTACATTAAACCTGGAATGATGAGAAGTACGACGAAGGGGAATCCTACAATAGCTAGCCTCCAAAGCATTGCGAGTCCCACTATGTAGGAACTAATGAAAGTTGACAAGTTCATCACAAAGACTGGAACCTGTTCGTTGAGTGAGTAGCTTGATAAGTGACGAAACTAAAAAGATCTTGACGATATAGTTTGATCTGAATATTAGACAAATAATATTTTGTTTGCTCTTCTTTAACCAGGTTAAGAGATGCTTAACATACTCTTTATCAAAGTATTGGACATGAGACATGTTAAATACATAGTACTAAACACAAAATTTTACTTGGTTTTCCTCTTTAATCTCATCGAATATATTTTACCAAAATTGTTGAAGAACGAGTTACCAACCTTTTCACTAATGACATCTTGAATGACAAGACTATCACTAGAGACACTTGTAATAACCTCGACAGTGCTGGTAACATGCAAATCAAAGTAGCCCACATCTTGCCTCATCACTGCTTTTAAATATCTTGTTCTTAATCTTGAAGCTTGCCTCTCTCCTGTTCTTGTCCAGCAATATCCCTCTAAATTAATTAAAAACAAAAAATATTTTTTTATTAATTGAAAAATCACTTCAATAAAGGTACCCAAAGAAATTTCAAAACTAAAATGGATAGGGAATTAAAATTTGCAATTACAATGAAATTGATCTTCTGCCCCAGAAAATACGATAAAAAATTTATCACTGCTGATATGACAAGAGAACATTATTTATGGTCACATCAGCAGTGAGAAGTTTTTATCCTATCCACTGGGAGCAAGAGATTAGAACTGTCCATTACAATATTGATACCTACCAAGAAAACAAGCAACCCATTGTCCACAAGCCATGTAACACAAAAGCACTGCATTCTGCATGCAAAATGAAAGCCAAATCCATCACTACTGATATATTTAAGATACTGGCATGGCTAATTTGAGAACACCAACTTAAAATATATCTATACAAAATCTTGAAGCTCCTCTTAAAACATCAAACTTGTTCAAAAAAAAAAAACAGCGCGAACCTCTATCTTTATTATTCCTATTTGAAGGACGTGAGATTTTACCTAACACTCAATCCAAAATGAACTGAGTAACCATGAATCAAACTCAAAATAGGAAGCTAGAAGTACATACACACAGAGGAGTGGGGTGGGATGGGGACATACCTCGTTAACCCGTTGAGTGAAATCTTGAGTGAGTGATGTGGTTGCACTGCCAAAAGTGTTCATGATTTTGCTAGTGACTAAAAACATAACCGGCAATAAAATTCCATCACCAATGGCTCCCAACAACCCTAAACTCATCAACACGGCATCGTAACTATCAGCATGCATGAATATGGACCGAAAAGAACCATTTTTCTTCTTATTATTCTCTGTAATCTTACTTTCATTACCCATATCTTTTCACTTTATAACTAAAAACAAAACAACAGAGAGAAGATAGAGGTTCAGAGTCTCTATTTGCGTAGCCTGCAGAGAGAGCATATATATATATAGTGTCTACCGTTGTTTTTTCCTGGTTTTTGTGTTTGCATCTGCGAATGTTTTGTCATTTAGCAAGTTCGAGAAGGACGAATTTTGAGAAGGTATCAAATGTATATAATTATTTATTAAACAACTCTGATTATTCTGTGTAAGCTCTAAAACATTTTTAAATAAGATTCTTCGAACATATAATTATTTTCTTTTTTTTTTTTATAACTCTTTGACCCTATTTTGGCCAAATATATATATATTTTTTAAAATGAATCAAACAATCATCTAAAGAAATAAACATTTAAACTTCTATTACGAATTAAATTAATTAATTTATAATTGTTCATTTACATTAATACATGCATGTGGAGTTTTATTAGCCAGCTGATTTGAATTTAGAACTTTTGTCGAGTCTAATATCAAGTTGAACCGCTCCATTTAAGAATATCTATTGAATATGAAACATGTTTTTTTAACTACAAGGAAGTATATTCTTACGTATAGATACACATAAGCTAGCTGGTTCTAGTAAGTAAATAATAAGTATAGTTCCTTATTAAAAGTTTAACTAAAAAGGAAATGCAAATAGAGGTATTTAATTCAGATTTTTTTTTTTTTATTTTTGATTGACAATAGTATGACAATTTTTTCTAGCAAATGGAAATTTAAAAAATATAAAAAAGAGGAAAATTTAATTAACAATTGATATATTAGGCCCCTGTTTGGTACACGTTATTTTTTTTCATTCTCATTCTTCTACTCATTTTCAACCATATATTTTTCAATAAAATAATATTTTTTATCACATCAATAACTTTTCTTTCTTTTTCAACTACAGATTCTCCATCAATTTACTATTCCATAATACATTCTTTCAAAATAATGTAGCTCAAACACACCCTAGATATTGCTAGCTAGTATGAGCGATCATTAACATATAATGAAGCATTCTTTGGTTGTTGCATCATTTAAATCCAACTTTGGGACATTTTAGACTTTTGATTTGTCAAAAAAGATGGGAAAAAAAGGGCATATATAAGATGTTTGACCTTACATAAAGCCTGAAAAAAACTACGATTCCAATTGTAGTTAGAGATTACCTGTAAAAAAACCAGAAAAGTGAAGCAAATTTTGAATTTTTCCTTTTGTTATATTTGTCAATGCAGGATTAAGCTCTTGTTTCTTAAATTTTTGATTCATAAAAACACAATATTAAACCTCTATTTGGCGGGAATTAAAATCAGATTTTTAGTGGACTTGATAAAAGTTGATGAAATGTGATTGAAAAGTTGAGAGTCCCATGAAATTTGTGGTTAAAATTAATTATTGACTTTAACTTAAATAAAAAATTTTAATTTTAATTTTCACCAAACAGGAACTAAGGGTGCGTTTAATTGTAAGGGTGGAAAATGGGTGGAAATAAAATGATTTACGGGGAAAATAATTGCCTAAAAAATATTTTGCAGGGAATTGTTAATTAAGTGTGTTTGATTGGTATAATTTTCCATCCGGAAAATTTTTAAGTTTTCTATTCTTTTGGCTTTATTTAACATGAAAAATGTCTATTAAAGTGATAATTTTTTCCACAGTTGGTTATAAAATTGCCAAAAAGTAAAAAAAAAAAGAAAAAAAATTGTTTCCTAAAAAATCATTTTTTTAATCAAATTTTAGTATTCGTTTGACTTTATTTTACATGAAAATTATCCATTAAAGTGAATTTTTTTTTTACCATTGGTTATGACATTTTTTTCCATTGCAAAATAAAAAAAATAAAAAGATTTTTCCGGCCAAGGTGGGAAAAAATTTTAATCAAAAAGTCGGAAAATGCACACGTGTGGGCAAAAGTGGAAAAATATTTTCCGTGAAAAATTTCGCCTATCAAACAGCAAAAAAAGTGGAAAGTGGAAAATATTTTCCTAATTCCCTGAAAAATAATGCCTATCAAACAGAGCCTAAGTATAATACAAAGATTTTAAAGACATTTGAGATATTTTATATTTTATATAATCTATATAAGTTCAATAATAAGTTGGGTAGGAGTGTAGGACATGACTCATTTATCTAAACCACATTCAATTTTTTCGCTAAAGTTTCGATGCACGTATAATTTCTTATTGTCTCATCGAGAGCTTTAACTATAGGAAAAAAAAAAAAACATTTATGTGTTTAAATTGACTTCGCACGACTATAAACTATTGGACACACTCCTCATCTCTTGACTCTAATTATATTCAATCCTCTCTTCTTATTACCATAATTATGTAATCAATATCCCAACTTATCAATGGTGAGATATTCAGTTACGTCACGCTCTACATTTGTCTTTTGTACAACAAATAAGTTAGGTTTCTAAATAGAAAAATAAGAGTAATAAAACTAGTGGTATTTAACATTAGTTTAGATCATAATACGTGTGACGTTACATCATAAGTTTCATTAAGCTCATATTTGGTCCCCATTAAATTTTAATTCGTTTTTGTCTCTTCTTTTATCAACCACACATTCTCTCAAATAAAATAATATTACACATAAATCCAACAATTGTTCTTACTTTTTAAACATACTTTCTTCAAAAAACACCATTCCAAAATCAATTATTTTCAGATAATGGAGCTCAAACAATGTATAAATAAGGAAGGATTTAATACCCATTTAATAGGACTTATCATGTGTAACTTTGAGGGGTTGCTCAATTGGTCAGGCCCTGAGTTTGCTCCCCAATGGTCATCAGTTCGAATCCTCTCATGGCCACTGAGGTGAGTACTCAACCGTAAACTTAAGGGTCCCGTAGAATTAATCGAAGTGCTCATAAGCTGGTCCGAACATCCACGGTTATCAAAAAAAAAAAAGGACTTATCATGTGCATTACCTAAATTAGTGTTAGATAACATTATTTTAACTAAATAATGGAAAACAACTCTTTTTATAAGTTTGGGACTCACATGCAGACGTATAAGTTGTGATCCTTTTCATAAAAATATGTTTGATTCTTTTTTCCATTTTGTCATAAACTAGGCTGTTTGATTCTTTTAAACCGGGCTGATTGATTCTTTTGGATTTTTGTACCTTGAAAATTGAAAATATTTGAATGAAAAAATTAAAAAATATATATTGGACGAAAATTTTGAATAAAAGGAGAAGG